CTTGACACCCTCGGTTCACCATGGCCTGAGAGCAACAGTTCCTGCCCCAAGTATGTTACATCCAATGTTACATCCTGTCATAGATGGCCCAAGTTGCAGACAGCCCAGATCAAAATTTTGAAACAAAACAAGGGTTAACTGTTCTGCAAGACATCTTTGATAAATAAGAGGGATGGAAAGACTGGAGGGCCTTGAATGAATTCCCTGGGGCTTACTGTCCTGCCCTTTTCCATTTCCATTTCCATCTCCCTTTCTCAGATTGCTTCCAAGTCCTGTATTCAGGTGTTTTCTGTGAAGCATTCCTATGTGTGTACAAAAGGTAAGAGCTGAGGGGTCACAGACATGGGCAAATGGTGTTTCTCAAGAGAGTGTGTACATTTACATGAGTATGTATATGTTGTGATACTGTTTCTGAGGGAGGGTTATAGGGGATGTCAATTATGTGTGTGGTACTTCCATGATGTATGTGGTACATGTAATGTATATAGTGATAGTATTGATCATAGAATCTAGAATAGTAGACAAACCAATTACCATGGCCATAAGGGAGTTTTTCAACTGAGTAAACTGAAGTGAGAAAAACCACTCTAGATACAGACAGCAATATCCATTGGTCTGAGATCCCAAGCTGATTAATAACAAGATGAAAGGAAGGGAGATCTGGCATTCTCCACTCTATCATTTATGATTGTGGATGCAATATGACCCCATGCCTCATGTTCCTGCCACCATGCATCCTTCCCTTACATGAAGGACTGCACGCTTACTATGAACTAAAATCAGTTTAAGTTGATTTTTTTCTGGCATTTTGTCACAACCTCAACAAGAAAAGTAACTAATACAGAAAACTGGCATCAGGAGTGATGCTGTAGCTAATCCCTGACGGTGTGGTTCTTAGGCCTTTGAAAATAGATGCAGGAAAATAGTCTGAATGTTTGGAACATTGTCAAAGGCTGTGGCGCAAGTGGCTAAAACAGGCGTGTCAGGAGAAAGTGTGATAATGACTGTGCTATGTATGTTAGGGTGTTTTGTGATGTGATGTATTGTGTGGAAGGGCATATAATGTGTAAGGGCCACATGATGTGTTTTTATGATATATACAACATGTCTGAGCTTTTATGTAACTTGTAGTGTCTACTACATATTCATGGGTTTTATATCATGTATTTATGTTGTCGTTTACATATGAATATTATGTATAATAATTGTGTAATGTGTTTATAACTGAGAGTGAAATAAAGTGTGTGTTGTTTTAAATAGAAAAGTAGTATGTGATGGGAGATGTCATTCTGTATATGTTTGTCATACTGGTTAATGAATAAAGCACTGTTGGCCAATAGGAAAGCTAGGTAGGCGGGACTAGGAGACAAGGAGGAAAGAGGAAGTAGGAAGGAGCATCAAGATGGGGAGCCTGCAGAGAACAGAACTGCCATTCCTCCGCTCAAGGTAAGACCATATAGTAATACATAGAAATGGGTTAATACTTAAGACAGAGCTAGCCTATAAGAAACAAGTAATGGGCCAACAGAATTGTATCTAATACAGAGACTCAGTGTGTTAACTGGGGCTGGCGGCTGTGGGACAAGACCAGGAGTGGGAGGAAAAGCCGTACTCTTTACAAGTATGTCTACTTGTACATATATTGTGTGTACATATATTGTATTAAAAAAAATCTTGACAGGGGTGTGTATGAGTGTGTGTGTGTGTATGTGTGTGTGTGTGTTTTCATGATGTCCGATATGGGTGATTAAGTATGTAGTATTTCTAAAGGGCACATGGGTTTACATGCCCTAAGTAGGCACGCATATATAGTTCAGCCCCTGGACTTTTAAAATGTTGGCCTTCGTGGGCAAACAGTTGTCCCTTTCAGGGAAACCTAAGGTAGGTGCCAGCACCAGAAATGAATTAGATTTAGCTGTTTTCTTGAGGTAGCACTGAGCCAACAGGTGTGCTATGGAGTCTGGGGAGGGTCCTTGTAAATGAGGGTCCTTGCTCTACTACGCTGAGGTGTCAGGATAACACAGAAGGGAGGATAGAGCTGGCTCTCAGCCCCGAGGCAGCTATGCAGGCAAATGAGGAAAAGGTAGAATCCTGCCTATGGTCTCACCCACCCAGCCATCCTCACTACTCTGTCCTTTTCATTTTGTGTCAGTGTCAGGGAGGTGTTCGCAGGTGTTGGAAAGACCCTGCTAAACCCCAGTGCGATGGGCAAGTGAATGAGGATGAAGACAGCTGCATTGACTCCAGACCTATATCTATGGGGGTCACCTCCTGTGAAGAACTCCCTTTAGTGGGTCAGGTACTAGAACTGTGTCTGAGACAGGGCATCTCCTGTGAGGGACTCTCTCGTGTGCATCAGGGACTTGACCTGTGTCTAAGGAGCCAAATCCTCTTAGGTATTTTCTTGGGTGGTTCAAGGACCAGACCTATCCCTTATGTCCTTGGTCTTGGGCTCTTTATTAGCACACCAGAGAAACAGAGAAAAGAATGGATAGACTTCATGCTCAGTATCACAGTCAACACGGTGGATGCTGATCCCTAACCCTGTGTAGATAGGGCCCTGCCCTCTGCTACAGTGCCCATGTGGATTGGGGAGTGTGTGAGGTCTCCAAGCAGGAAGGTTTCAGCTGAGTTGGCATAGCTCAGAACAGGGATGGACTCTCATGACTTTGGACTTGTTGCATCACTGATTGCAGTAGGACTCCTAACTTCTCAGGATCCTTCCCAGCTACATTAGCATGGATACTAAGTGACCATAGATGATGGTCCACACAATGTCGCTGTATGATAAGGGCCTGAGAATTCCATCTTCAAGGTAGCCCTTCATGAAAGGTGAGAGCAGAGAGAACATGGCACCTAAGTCTCCTGCTCCAACACTTTAATGTTCGCCTTGCAGATCCCTATCAAGTGAATTTCAAGGGATGAGGATTTAAAAATACAAATGACCTGAGCCAAGTTATTTGCAGGTTCACGTTCAGTGACTCCAGGGTAGTTGGTAAGTAATGCATTGGTATCCCAGTACCCATGAGGTACACATTACCATTCAGAATCATTTCTCAAAGTCAGCCATGCCTTCTGCTTTGCAGACCACGCACAATGGGGAAGCTATAGGCCTATCATAATCTGTCTTCATGCAAACAGTGGAAGAATCAGCTCCCAAAGGCATCTGGAGCCTGGCATGACACTGGCCTGTCCTCACTACAGCATCCATTTAGCCTTTTGTTGTTCCCCTTCTTGAGGTTCTAATCCCACAAGATGGCCTCCACAGATGCGACAGGCAGAGCCTCCTAACTGAGCATGAAAGATGTCCAGCAGGTCTTTCTGGAAAGTCATTCATTACAGCACACAGGGGAAACAAAGGACTGGGAAACTGGAAGCCTAGCCAGTGGGGATACAGCTCAGTTCTTGGCTTTTTGCCCCAGCTCAGGGGACTGGGAATAGAATGTGTGTTGAGGATTAGCGGCTTCAGCCACAGTTTCAGAATTCCTCTCAGACTCCCAAAGGAGGAAAAGAAAAATGTTTATTCCCTTATGAGCATTCTCCAGCTCAGCAAACATCACAACTGCCCACACACTTCCTTGGTCTAAACCTGGTTGCCATTCTTGCTCCTCTTCTCCTATCCCTGTACCCAGGCCACCAGCGCTTCATGCTGCCTTTATCTGGAGCCTCCATGGCGCCTGACACATCCATTGCACTAGAAGTACCACCCAAACTTCTTCCAAGAGCCCACACTTTCTCACTCACTACGTTCAGCAACCTAGTAGGTGCCTTACCATTTGCCTCTCACCTATCCCTGAGCCTCCAACCCTAAGGTCATTTCCTGGCTGCTCCCATCTCAGACATCAGCACTTCACACGAAATCAGTTTCAGTGCACATGGTCTACCAAACACAAATGTACCAAAAAGTACATGGGCTTGAAGCACCCATAGCCACTGCCCAGGAGTTCACAATCCACACCGTGTAGCTCCCCGACAGTCTCGCCACTGTGTATCTTTAGCTAAATTCCAAGCATTTCATGTATAAACACTTATTCTTTAAATAAGAAATTATATCTCTAAAAGAAGGGACTCATCACCAGTAACTGAGCATCTGACCTCTCCCCAGGATGCCCCACCCCTCTACTTCCCATGTCACAGCACACTGCACTCTTTTATACTGTCCTGTGTGTCTTCCCTCTCTCCCTTCCTCTCCCTCTCTGTCTTTCTCGCTCTCTCCCTCAATCACCAACAAGTGATCCTTGGGTACAGGATATGCTTGCTAGGTAACAGAGTGCTGTTCAGGAGGGGGCAGAGTTGGAACTCCACAGTTGCCCTCGAACAAAAAGAGGCAGAGGGAGTAAGCAGGCATCAGCCAGTGTCAGCTCTCAGACAGAGGGTGACAGTGGAGGAAGGGCTCCCTATTAATAGTCTTATGCCAATTTCTTTTAGATGAAAGCCCTTCAGATATTACTGATAACACCATAAATTGTCCCGGACCAAAGATACAGCATACTGGCAAGTGTCCCTTGCTAAAGTCCTTCTTTAGGAATTCCAAGATTTGTGTTTCCCAGCTTTAGCGAAACTGGGGTGTGTCCTCTGCTATAAGCACCTGTCTGCCTTATATGGGTTCCATTTCCTTTCTACGAGACTCTGTTAGTAACCCTGGAGGTTCTTAGGAGTACACAGTGCCCAGGCACTGATGAGGGCAGGATGGAGAAGATGATGGGTTCCAGGGTTCAAACCGGTGTTTGAATATCTCCCTGATTCCTTAGATCCTGCTCATTGTGGTCATATGACATGAAGACCCCTTCTGGCCTAATCTGCAGCCTTCACATCCCTGCAGTGCTTGAGTCTTTATGCTTTGGGTAGTAGAGTTGCTCTACCCACCTGTTCACTGTCAGGGAGGCCTGTGCTGAATTTCAGCATCATTACACTGAGGACTGATGTGTGTGACACTTTCAACAAACTGAGTCTCTGGCGTACTCCCGTCATCTAGTCTCTCTTCCATGCATTAGGGAAGTGTCTCTTGAGGTCAGTCTGAACAACGGCATCTCCTTCATTGGCAATAGACTCGTCATCACCGGAACCAACTGTGGGAGTACCAAGGTAAGAACCCAGAGGTGATGCAGATCCACCTAGAGGAGAAGGATGGTCACAAGAGGCCTGGAGGTGACCACAAGTACCGTAGGTAGGCTGTAGCATCTTATAAAGAGTCATCATGGACAGGTATGAGACCGGCAGACACTGTCTAGGACATGGAGTCCACAAGACAACTCCGTATGCATGTCCAGGAATCCAGAATTTGTACCAATAGCAGACAAAATATGTACCAGTGCATCATATACCCAGCAGCTGATATGGACTTAAATCTATGCAGCCTCAGTCCCCACCCTCTGCCCATATTGTCCCCAAACCTAGGAGTGTCCTCAGGTCCCCTCTCCTCTCTAGCTGTGGTGGGGAAGCTGTCTGTCATGTGGGACACTCAGCACATCAGGGCCCCTGAGAAAGAAAGTGCTACTCCTCAAGTGCTCCACATCTATCCATTTCCACATCTGTCCTCCAAGCACCTGAGATCAATGCAGTGTGACTAGAAGGGGAGGGGGAGAATCCAAGGAGAAGAAGCTTTGATCCCATTTGTGACAAGTCTGGAGTTGTTAGCAGGATTCAGAGGGAGGAGGGGCAAACTTTGTCAGGCAGAGCAGGGACAAAGTGATAGGCCACATCCCCTACCTCTACACCTCTGTAGAGACCCAGCAGCCTGAACCTCTCCTAGAGATCTGATCACCTTCATTCTAGTGTGATGTCAACCAAGGCCATGGTGAGAACTGATCTCAGGCCATAGAAAATCCTGTGTCATCCTCTTCTAGGTTCAGGGCTGGGCAAGATTGGCTGCTCTCACTGAAGACCAATCTGGGTCACTAACTCCACTGTAGCCCTTGTGTCTAGCCAATCCTGATGAATGAAGAGAGTGTGTGTACAAATGGGAAGCAAGGTGTGAGTCCAGCGGAAGAAGCCACTCTTGCTTTTTGTCACAGGGAGCACTTAATAGCAGGAACCTTGACATCAGTAAAAGCAGCAGCAGCCTTGACATCAGCAAAAGCCACAGCAGCAGCAGCAGCGCCATAGCCAGCAAGCCACAAGCAAAAGTTCTAGACCCAGTTTCACTTGCTACAACACAAGGCAAAGCCATCAAATCACCAAACATGTCAGCAGGAGACAGCTTTATCTTTAATTGGAATTGGCTTATTCTTCTGCTGGTCTTGCTGGTGGCCATCATGTTGCTGATCTGCTGTTTCAGGCTATGCTGCAAGAAGGATAAGTCTCCTGTCCCCCTCCTCCCTCTCCTCCCTCCCCCCTCCTCCACCCTGGCTCCCACCTATGTGCCCCTTCTCCAAGGAATAGTGTCATAGGGCAGTACTATATACAGTCTGCTGGAAATTTCCCATCTGACCAAGGGCCTAACAGCATCCAGGGGACACATGAAGTCTCAAATAGAAACATCCAAGTCCTGGCTTCCAAGAATTGTTCAGCATAGGTGATTCAGGAAATCTGTCTGCCATGCTTGGCCTGAAAATGAAGCCTTGCACAGAGTCCATCCAAGCACCCTTAGGTCAGGGCCATCTTGTATCCACTACACATCTATAGTAAAATCTTTTAAAATGGGGACATCTCAGTCTCATCCACTTTTTCTGGCTCTTCGGGAGCTAATTTTGTCAAAGAAACTCAAAGAAAAACACACTGGAAAGGTTTCTGGGCAAAGGCAATGCCATTGCACCTTGATTCGCCATTTCGGGAGACCTTAAGTTAGCTTGCTGGAACAAGTTAGGCAGGGATCTTGACTTAGCTTGGGAACAAGGGACACTAAATTCCAGAGTCAGACTGTTTGGAAGTTAGTGCATTGCTGCATTGAGGACCAGAAATGCTGTAGAGAGGCGATGGAAAAGGGGCAAGCTGAACTAGAAATGCTATGAGAAGAAAGATCAGTAGAGGTTAAGAGCACACGGGAGTCTGATAAGGATGAAACAGTCTGAGGAGGAATTGCAGGCCCTCTTAGAAAAGGTTCAGAAACAATCCCTTAGAGAACGGAGAATGGAAGATAAGGAGAAATGGTGATGTAAGGAGGAGGATGTAAATGTAAGCTCACTTCATACAACTTAAATTCAACTGTACTCTAAATTGTTATGTGTCTTTAAATGGTGGTAAACATTTAAGGTTATAAATGCCTATTTCAAGCTAACAAAATATTTATGCCACCCAGTCTTTCCTATGAGCTGTTTATAAAGGTTAAGCCTCTATTATCAAAGGGAGTTTTTCTCTACCTCTTTGTCCTCTACAGGTATAAGTCTAACCTACTAAGTTAAAACCAGTTACAGTCAGGCTGCAGGGCTCTGAGTAAAACATCCTTCCACAGCCTCTCAGCTTGGATCCAGTTTTCCAAACAGTTTAATTAATTACAGGGATAAAGCTTTACCTAGCCACCTATGTGCTTAAGGCAAGTAACTAAAGACAAATTTTGTATACTAAGGTATGCTAAACAATCAGACAGCCATCAAATGCTCAGAGATCTAGAGAATATGGCATTTAAAATGTTTCATTAAAATGCTTTTATAACAGAGAGACAGGCCAGCTGCTGGCACCACCCATTTCCTTCAAGAAGACTGATGGACACTAAAGAAGCTCCACCCACAAAAGTGGCAACAGTAGCCTGAATGGTAACTGCATTTCCTGGGGGGCAGGGTGGTTCTGCTTTCTCTTTGTGCCTCTGCAGCCCAGTATGGGGTTGCATGACATACTGTGGTCAGGAAAGGATTGGTGTCAAAGGTATCTCTGACCTCGGGCTTCCTAATCATGTCTCAAAGTCATCGCCCTGCATATGGGGCCACTGGACTAGGTAAGGGATCCTGCCCTGAAGTAAAGGGGCACCTCTGGGGTTTGGCCACATGAGACCTATAAATGTATAGTGGATCCAAGATGTCCCCGACCTAAGGGTGCTGGGATTGCCTCTGTCAGGGCTTCGTTTTCAGGCCAAGCTTCACAGACAGATTTCCTGTTTCAGCTATGCTGAACAATTCTTGGAAGCCAGGGCTTGGATGTTTATACTTGAGAGTGTATGTGTCTCCTGGATGCTATTAGGCCTTTGGTCAGATGGAAAATTTAAAGCAGACTGGATATAGTACTGCCTTATGACACTATTCCTTGGAGAGGGGGCATGTGTGTGGGAGACTTAACCTGCTCAGCGTGGGCCACATCCTTAAAACCAACCCCCACTCCCATGGCATTCTACAGCTGACAAGGGATATGCACCTTCTAGCTGAGGTCACATTACACATGGACCTGTGCAGTTTTTGCAAACTATTTGTTTTACCCATGATAGTCAAGAAGGAAATAGAGTTCTTTATAATTGTGTTGTATACACTATTGCTCCAGGGTTGAGAAAAATCTCATGGCCAGAAGGCACAAGTCAGATGCCATGAATGTTGCCCTCATGTCAAGAAGGGTCCAGTCTGCATGGATATTTCAGTTCAGGTAGCTGTAGCCACAGAGGGCGGTGTCTCTGGTCATGGTCACTCCTTAGCTACCCTGTGGTACTGCTTAAAATGTAGAAGACTTTTCTGTGACCCCTGAAAGCTGCCTCCCTTCTATCCCTTTACCAGCCCACCATTCAGAGACACTGCCAACTTATACAAGCTTCAGTCCGGAAAGATGGATGGTTTGGACAAGGTCTGATTATTCTGGCAGCTATAATAAAGCATCACAAACCACGTGGCTTATAAACAATAGGGATTTACACTCACTCAGCTCAGGAGGGTGAAGTCTAAGGCTGAGGCACAGTAGTATCTGGAGAGATAGTTCCATGGCTCTTGATACTATCTCTGGCTGTTTTCTCATAGGACAGGAGAATCCCATTGATGGTGCTCTTCTCTCATGGCCTAGGACACGCTCTATGACCTTATGTCATGCTATGAGCGTAGGGGTTTCCATACAAGTATTTTAGGGTGATGGGACACATTGAGAACTCAAGCTAGGCTGGCTGGACTTCTGTTCCCTCTCTCCTCCCAGGGGCAGACTCAGGACACCTCCTGCTCTGTAACCATTTGAGCCAGTCTGTTAGTGTCATTCTCTTCTTATATACCCCATGGTGGTCCATTTCTTCTGGTTCTCTGGAGAATCCTAAGCACTAAACACGACAAACACACCTGCCTGCTAGGAATGTGAAGTAGAGAACAGGATGAAGGTATGGAGAAAGAATGGAGGATGGGAATGAAGGGAATGAAGGGAAGGAGAGAAGGAGGCATAGGAAGAGGGAGAAATGGAGAGGGAGAGGAGGAAGGTGAGAAAGGAGGAGGAAGGAGATTGATGAGTTCCCCTCTACCATCCAGACTTATGCATGCTGGACCAGCTGTTGCCACCTCTTTTCTGGACCCTTTAATACTCTTTTATGATTCCTTGTGGCCAAAGGTCATTGTATCCAAAGTAACTTATGTGAATCTTGTAATTTTGCCTTTAAAATTTCCTTGTATTCTTATAACATGCATGTAAGGAGAAAGGTTGTTCCTCCTGCTGCCAGTCTTTTCCCACTGCCATGCCAGCGCCAAATAATGCACAGAGACTCTGTATTTGATATAATGCTGTTGGCCAGGTACTAGTTTCTTATTGGCTAGCTCTGTCTTAAGTATTAACTCATTTCGGTTAGTCTGCATGCGGTCTTACCGGAGAGTCTGCTGCCATACCTACTCCTTCCTCTTTCCTCCTTGTCTCCTAGTCCCTCTTATCTTCCTTTCCTATTGGCCAACAGTGCTTTATTCATTAGCCAGTATGAGAAACATATTTAGAGAATGACATCTCCCATCATCTCCTCTTTTCTGTCTAAAATAAAAAAGAAGGATTTTAACCTTAACATAGCAAAATATATCACACAACAGTTATCAAGTAAGACTCAGTTAACAATTTTTAGTCCATTAACATTTAGCAAGATTTAAGAAAATATTCCATCATCTAGGCTATCTTTATGTGTCTAAAGTCTATGTAACTTATCTTTAATCCTAACTAAGGAAAAGTGTAACCATAACTATTTGTCTTCAACTCCTTCAAAGACCACAGAAGGATAGTATATAAACTCTAGAAATGACAGAGACATCTTGCTTTGTCAGTCACCTGAAGTTCTTCTGTAATCTTCCACCTTCAGCCCATAGGCCATAGAGTGTCTAGCAGACTCTTCAGCAAAGCAGGAAAGTTTAAACTGTGTTCTTGTATTGGCAGTTTGTCAGTAAATTTCTCTGTGTCCTGCAGACTGTCTGGCAGACTCTTCCACGAAGCAGGAACTCTGTAGCAATGTCCATCTTGAATCAGTAGTCACTTTCCCGTGGTCCTGCATGCCCAGTTTACACAGCATAAAGTAAAACAGTCCAGACAAGTGCAGTATCTTGTCCAAATGGCTAGTCTCGCCATATTGAAAGTAAACTTCATAGTGCGTTTCTTTGATGTTCATCTTCTATCTTCCTTTCTGGTGCAGGTGGTATTGCCAGGAACATTTATAGAAAAACCCTAAACCATTTTAAATGCTATATTCTGTAGGTCTTTGAAAGGTTTGAAGAATTTCTATCTATCTCAAATATATCTCTGTGTATCCTGAATAACCTAAATAACTTAACTCTAAGCTTTGACTATCATAGCTAACTATCTAAAATCTGTACTAATTTATACATTGCATTTCTAAATGAGTTTTATAAACACAATACCTAAACAACAGGAGAAATATACATATCACAAAATTGACCTTAAATTGTATCAATAAATGAAAATCCATTCCAAAACAAAGTATTTATATCCATACCATAATCCCCTTTTTTACCTTTAAAATATAGTGGTTGTGATCATTAACTACTTATAACCAATCCCATTTAAATGAAAACAAACATTTATAAATAATATTTGGGAATTAGGGTGTTGTTCTTTCCAAACTACTTCCTGCTTATAGGGGGTGCTGTCATGGGGATCATAGGAAGATGAAGAAATACTGGTTGTAGTCTGCAAAGCTGGCTTGTCCAAGCTGTTTTGAATGTAGGATCACCTGCGAAGTTGTTTCAGGGGGTCTGGCTTGATCAAACCACATTACTCTGGAAGTAATCCACAGCTTTTCATTTTCTGTAGAAACAAAAATAGAAATCCTTTTCCCCAGTAACTTGTCCTTGAACTTAAATTTTGGAGTCAAAGCATTTTTAAAATACATAAATTTAATTAATCCAGCAGTATTTCTTTTATCAGTTGATATTTCCTCAGAAGTAAAACAATTTAAGGACAACAGAATAGCATATAGTATGCACAGTTTTTCTGTGCTTTCCATCTTTAAGTGGCTTTTTTATTACTCTGTTTCTTTTAGTTCTATTTTTTCATTTTTTGAGACAGGGTTTCTCTGTGTAACTTTTATCTGTCCTGGAATTCACTCTGCATACCAGGTTTACTTTGCAAAACCAGCAAAACCAGAGATCTGCTTGCCTCTGTCTCCCAAGTGCTGGGATTAAAGGTGTGTGCCACCACACCCAACTCCTAGCTGTATTTTAAAAACCATTTTATTCCTTTTCTCTCCCAAGTCTACATATATTTTAGAAAACACTGTAAACCTTTACCAATTTATTTTAATGTGAATCTGTCTTTACTGTAAATCTTTTTCTTTTTCTGGCCACGAGTCTTTACCTGTTAAACAACAACATTGCTAAAATGAAAGTCATAGTTGTTTCTGCCCCGGTTTATCAAAGATGGTGGCAGGTACTTTGACTGCCAGCAGTGAAAGCTGTGCTCACTGCCTTGGTCTGTACTGCATTCCAGCAAGCATGCTGCCGGCTTGGAGATGTGGTCAATCCCATTGCCAGCTCTCATACACACCAATAAATTGTTAGCAGTGCTTTTTTAAAGCTGTGCAGTTTTTTTTTTTTTTTTTTTTTTGCTGCTTATGCTGAGTCAGGAATCTTCCCTTAAAGGAGCAGTGCAATTATCTGCTTGTATCTTGCAACACAGAGTCCAACCAAGAAAAAATGCTGCTACCAAGAAACCTTGCTTGTCTCTGTGCTTTTGTTAAATTTTAAGTGGAAGTTCTTATTAGCCATGTGGGCACCATATGTAAAGAGTAAGATTTTTGAGAAACATATTTCAGAATGACATCTCCCATCACATGCACACCACACACTCTAGAATGTGCGATCCTCTTTGCAATGCCTCAGTACTCACAAATCATTATTTTCAAAGAATTTCTTTGATTGGTGATTAGGTTGGTATCAGAAAAGTCCCTGTCTCCTAGACTGTTTCAAATATGATGCCTTAAAGAATGGGGCATCTGCCTTGGGCCCATGGATGGTTTTCTACAAACTATTTCTAATTCTGGTTTCAGTTTTAAAACATGTCTGCAAGAACCCCAAAGGACCTCACTATGTTTCTGATCAAATTCCTCTTGGCATTATTATGCATCCTCTGCATAACTAAGATGCTATAGAAATTCCTATTTCTATGTGTCTGTAATATTTGGGCTCTTTCATATCTTGTTTGTTTGCGAACTTCAAACAAAAAAGGACATTCTGAACATTGGCATTAGTCATGCTAAGGCCCCCGAGATATGAATATTCATAATCACTTTACATATATCACACTTTATACTATAAGGTGTACTGTTCAAATGTTTCCTTTGACCACCCCGACACCATGATACCTGGTACAGAGCCTGGATACAGAGAGCACAGTTCACAAACTGGCTGTACCACTCAACAACCTCAACATGCTGAGCCCCAAACTGAATGCCCATATCTCAGTTTCTACAGGTGTGATCCAGCACACACACACACACACACACACACACACACAATACAAGGTCTGGTGCCACGATGCACGGTGCTAAATATGTACCAGTGCATCATATACCCAGCAGCTGATATGGACTTAAATCCACGCAACCTCACCGCCCACTCTCTGCCCATCTTGTTCCCAAACCTAACAATGTCCTCAATTCCCACTCCTCTCCAGCTGTGGTCTGGAAGCTGTCTGGCTTGTGGAACACTCAGCAAAACAGGGCCCCTGAGAAAGAAAGTGCTACTCCTCAAGTGCTCCACATCTGTCCAATTCCACATCTGTCCTCCAAGCACGTGAGATCAATGCAGTGTGAATAGAAGGGTAGGGGGAAAATCCAAGGAGAAGTAGCTTTGGGCCCATTAGTGACAACTCTTGAGTTCCTCTCAATATTCACAAGGAGGTGCAAGCTTAGTAAGGCAGAGCAGGGAGACAAAGAGATTAGACAGGGAATGCAGCCACACAACCCCTATCCCTACACCTCTGTAGTGACCCAACAGCCTGAGCCTCTCCTAGAGATCTGATCCCCTTCAGTCTAGTGTGCTATCAATCAAGGCCATGGTGAGAACTGATCTCAGGCCATGGGAAATCCAGAGTCATCCTCTTCGAGGAAATGTTGGCTGCTCTCTCTGAAGACATATCTGGGTCACTAACTCCACTGTAGGCCTTGTGTCTAGCCAATCTAGGTGAATGAAGAGAGTGTGTGTACAAATGGGAAGCAAGGGGTGGGTACAGGGGAAGAAGCCACTGTTGCTTTTCCTCAGAGGGAGCACTTCATAGCAGCAGCCTTGATATCAGTAAAAGCAGCAGCAGCAGCAGCAGCGCCATAGCCAGCAAACCACAGGCAAAAGATCCAGACCCAGTTGCAGTGGATACAACACAAGGTGAAGCCAAACAAGTCATCAGGAGGCGGCATTATCTAAAACTGGAATTGGCTTATTCTACTGCTGGTCTTGCTGGTAGCCATCATGTTGCTGAGCTGCTGTTGCAGGCTGTGTGGCAAAAAGGTTAAGTCTCCCACACTCATGCCCCCTCTCAAAGGAATAATGTCATAAGGCAGTACTATATCAAGTCTGCTGGAAATTTCCCATCTGACCAAAGGCCTAATAGCATCCAGGAGACACATACACTCTCAAGTATAAACATCCAAGCCCTGGCTTCCAAGAATTGTTCAGCATAGCTGAAACAGGAATTCTGTCTGCAAAGCTTGGCCTGAAAACGAAGCCCTGCACAGAGGCCATCCCAGCACCCTTAGATCAGGGCCATCTTGTATCCACTATACATTTATAGGCCTCATGTGGCCAAACCCCAGAGGTGCCCCTTTACTTCAGGTCAGGATCCCTTACGAAGTCCAGTGGCCCCATATGCAGGGCGATGACTTTGAGCCCGAGGTCAGAGATACCTTTGACACCAATCCTTTCCTGACCACAGTATGTCATGCAACCCCATACTGGGCTGCAGAGGCACAAAGAGAAAGCAGAACCACACTGCCCCACCAGGAAATGAAGTTACCATTCAGGCTTTTGGTATAACACACACATCCAGAGATGTCACTAGGGCTTGGCCAAAGCACAGCAGGATGTAGGGATGGTACTGGCATCTGGGACAGGGTTCAGAAGAAGAAGAGCTAGGATGGAAGGAAGAGAGCTGGAGGAATTGGAAGCACAGGCCTGGGAGGTGGGGGCAGGTGGCATTTAGTACATAGCTCTCAGGGCCCATCTCTTCCTGGAGCTGCAGTGAGCAGTGAAATCCAGGGACTAAATTAGAGGGTGAGGAGGCTGCAGGAGGAATGGGGAGGCTGAGTGACAGTGAGCTTCTACCAATAGGAAAGGTGAGTGTGGGCTCCACTGCAGCTGGGCTCAGACACATGTGAGGCACTCCAGCTGTGGGCCTCTCCAGGGACCAAACCTTGGACCAGATAGCCTCTCCCTCATTGGAGAGGGATGGGGATGCCTCTGGCAGTTAGTGAGCTCTGGACACAGCACCACAGCAGGCAACAAGCACCCACACAGGCCATGTTGTCGTTCTGCTCCAAGCCAAGGTCCCCTGTATTGGCAGGACCAAGGTAGAGCCCACCCTCCCTCTCCAGCCCACTTTTGTCTGTTTCACATTCCAGCCTAAGGAGCCACCACCACCGCCACCTCCACCACAGCCAGAGAAGGTGAGTTGGATGGGGAAGAGGGTGACACTGTCACACTGACCTTTCTTAAGGGATATCATGAAGACTGACCTCAGAATCCCTCACTACTTTGGCAGTGAACAGGGGGGAATGCAGATCAATGATTGTAACAGAAAGCTGCAGGGCTCAAACTTATGTCAACTAGATAAAACCATCACCAGACTCCCAGCATTTCCAAATAATCAGGGCTTTGGAGACCTGATCCAGTGAGTGCAGCTGTCCATTGCTTCATTTGCATTGGATCCCATAGGGCTCTCTGTATAAGACCAAGGATGCAAAGGGTTCTTAGTATAGGAGCTGCATAAGTCAGAGCCAGGTCTCCATATACAAGTTCAGAGCCTTTGGGATTCGGAACAGCTATCTCTTTCACTGGCTGGTATGGCTAAGGGTTTCACTGTAGTCAGCCTAAGAATCCCAGGGCTGGGGAAAAGAGAGGACATTGAAACTGACTATCAGCTATGAGGGATGTCCCTAGCTGAGCACAAGGACCAGGATGGGGAAACAACTGTGCCTTCCTCTGGGAAGGGGCCAGAAGAGGTAAAGAAAAGCTGCAGCAAACAGAGACTGTGATAGGGCCTGTGCTTGGGAATAAGGGACACTAAAGTCCTTAATCAGACCCATTTGGAAGTTAGTGCATTGCTGCACTGAGGACCAGAAATGCTGTAGAGAGGCGGTGGAAAAGGAGCAAGCTGAACTAGAAATGCTATGAGAAGAAAGATCAGAAGAGGTTAAGAGCACAGGGGAGTCTGATATGGAGGAAACAGACTCTGAGGAGGAATTGTAGGCCCTCTTAGAAAAGGTTCAGAAACAATTCCTTAGAGAACGAAGAGGGGAAGAAAAGGAGAAATGGTGATGTAAGGAGTAGGAGGATCCCCCCTGAATATAGCCCTTGGTGGCACCTCCTTATCAGATGGAGGAAGGGCGGGGCTAAGGGACAGGACATTCCTTTTGCCCTGAGGTCTGGAGAGCAGTGCAAACTGACCTTGGTCTAGCTTTTCCAATTTTCCAGGATGCCCAATGTTAGGAAGTAGCAGCCAGCTGACCCCCGCCCCCCCCCCCGACAATGGGCGGGATGCTCATGGCTGTGTCATGGCTATGTCAGCCTTACCTGGCAGCTCAAGCTTTACCTGGCTGCCAGAGGACTCAGTTATGCATGCTCAAGCCTCCCTTTTAAAGCAAGCATGCCAAGAGTGCCTCTCTCTCTGGTTCCTCTCTCAGGTTTCTCTCTTGCCCCCTCTTGCTCTCTCTCTTTCCCTCTCTCTCTCTCCCTCTCCCTCCCTCCCTCCCTCCCTCCCTCCCTCTCTCTCTCTCTCTCTCTCTCCTCTCTCCTCTCTCCTGCTTTCAGTGGGCCACAAGTTATCCCCTCTTTCTCTCCCTTCTCTCAATAAATGCCAGTTGGGCGCTGAGTCTCCTGTTTGTGTTTCTTAGGCATTAGCTGAGCAGCAAAAGAACAACATTGTTGCAGAAACCCAGGCAGGCTCTCCTTCAGGGTCACTGGCAGCTGTCTGCTGGGATCCTGTTTCTGATTCCAGTGGTCCGCCTCCATTCCTCCCCCCTCCCTTTTTTGGAAATACCACCCCACACTGGCTTCAATTAGGTAAGGTACCCTTTTAAATTTTAACCCATTTCCTTAAGGTCAGGTACATTCCTTAAGGGTGGAAGATATACCTCCAGGGGCGGTATATCTGCTCTGCTCTCGGACTGCTGAGTCCTTCAGGCCTCTGTTGGGCCTGGCAACGTTTTCGGGCTGACGAGCTTCGAAAAACGCTCTGCCATTCTTGCTTATCGTGTGGCCACACTTTTGAGCTGAGGAGTTCCAAGATTGCATGGTCACCCCTCACCACTCCACTGGGATGACTGATAGATGTCACTTGTTATTTACCTTTGTACTGAAAAATGGCCTAGATATCCCCTAAAAAATAATCCAAATTGGCCGTGTAATGACTCTCTAGATCCTGATATTTTACTGGATCTTTCAAATTACTGCCAGCGAACGGTTAGATGGAAGGAGTTTTTTCTATCTCTCTGCTAAACAATCTCTTACCCTAAACTTGTTTTTGTTCTCTTCCCACCAAGCTAAAACTCTCCTGCCCGCCTCAGCTGAAGCCTGTCTCAGGGCAGTAGGCTGGGCTGAGGCAGCATCTACTCAAGACAAAATTTTATCTCAAAACTTTATGATTTCTGCCAGCTCTTGGGGATATGTTTATGGCAGCCACCCTCTGGACCACTTGGCCTAGCCTCCCCCTCCCCCCATGGTTCTTCCCTCTGCTACATCAGCCACCAAGGTAGAGGGAGTTTAGCCAGCTTCTGCAGCCAACAGAACCTGTAATTCATTTACCTTTTGCTTTTATTCTTTGTCTCTAATTTCTTTTTCACTATGTTGCACATAGCTTCACACTCTGGTCCTTCTCATTTTTACCCAGTCCTGTTAAATATATCTGTACATTTGATTTAAATTTAGCTTTATGGAAATGTAAGCTAACTTCATACTGAAAGACCAAAAAAAGTAATGTTAATGATGGACTGACCTGGAAACCAATATCTGTGCCTTGGAATTTGCTAACTTCCTCTCACAAAGCCCTGAGATAAGAAGAATTCACACTGCCCCTCCTTTCCTGTGAGTCAACAGGTGGTGAATAGGGTCCTTAGGAAACAAAGAGAAAGCTGCAACTCCAGTATACCCAGAAAAATTAATTAGCACACCCCAAGGCCCTAAGGTCTGTTGACCTTAATAGCAGACCATCTGGCCCCCAAGAGTCACATACTCAGTGGACAGAGGGCCCCACCCCCTCCCTAAGCTTGTGGGTTTGCCTTTAAAAGCACATGGACCCAGGGGAGGGGGTTTCTCTTGCTGGAGGAGCCTGTTTGGGCAAATGTTTCCTGTTGATTAAAGCCTCTTGCCTTTTGCAACAACTGGACTGGACATTGAGTTCTTGGGGTTTCGACTGAACCTGGAAGACTCCTCATTCTGAGGGTCTTACAATACAACTTAAATTCAACTGTACTCTAAATTGTTAGGTGCCTTTAAATGGTGGTAAACATTTAAGGTTATAAATGCCTATTTCAAGCTAACAAAATATTTATGCCACCTAGTCTTTCCTGAAAGCTGTTTATAAAGGTTAAGCCTCTATTATCAAAGGGAGTTTTTCTCTACCTCTTTGTCCTCTACAGGTATAAGTCTAACCTATTAAGTTAAAACCAGTTACAGTCAGGCTGCAGGGTTCTGAGTAAAATATCCTTCCACAGCCTCTCAGCTTGGATCCAGTTTTCCAAACAGATTAATTAATTACAGGGACAAAGCCTTACCTAGCCACCTATGTGCTTAAGGCAAGTAACTAAAGACAAATTTTGTATTCTAAGGTATCCTAAACAATCAGACAGCCCTCAAATGCTCAGAGATCTAGAGAATATGGCATTTAAAATGTTTCATTAAAATGCTTTTATAACAGAGAGACAGGCCAGCTGCTGGCACCACCCATTTCCTCCAAGACTCCAAGATGGACACTGCAGAAGCTCCACCCACAAAAGTGGCAACAGTAGCCACTGAGAAATCCTGCTGTTCATCTCAACTGCTGCAAAAGGCTCATCTTTAGATAAGGCTAGGCAATTCCATCAGCTATTTCATGTGAGTGCAAGGACTCTTCAACAGAAATTCCAGAGCAGATGCTCGACAGGTGGTTTTGAACTGTCCACAGTGAATCATATACCAACACCCACTTGGTGTGGGGGTAAACCCTAGGGGGTTAATGCCCCTAAAGTTATGGAAGATGGATGTCACACATATTTCAGAATTTGGAGTTTTGAAATATGTACATGTGTCTGTGGATACTTGATCAGGTGTGGTACATGCTACACCTTTAAGCAGAGAAAAAGCCCACAGTGTCATTGGACACTCCCTGGAAGCCTGGGCAGCTTGGGGAAAACCTCAACAGCTAAAAACAGATAAGGGGCCAGCCTATAAGGCTCAGAGATTTACTTCCTTTTGCAAAGAAATGGAAGTTCAGCTTGTCCATGGATTACCCTACAATCCTCAAGGACAAGGGATTGTAGAGCGAGCTCATCGCACCCTAAAAGAATGCTTAATAAAACAAAAAGGGGGAGTAGGCCAAGGCCCAACTCCCAAGGAAAGAATATCTTTAGCCCTTTTTACCCTCAATTTTTTAATTTTGGATGTTGATGGCCTTTCCGCCACTGATCGTCATCAGCGGCAAGGAGGGAGTCTAAAAGGCTATGTGAAATGGAAAGATGTGATCACCGAGTTATGGCATGGTCCTGATCCAGTGTTGGCATCGGTGTGAGGGTCTGTTTGTGTTTTCCACCAAGATCGCCAAGAACAGTTGTGGGTCCCGGAGAGGTTTGTAAGAAAGTGCAACAAACATGAAGAGCCTGCTGTTGCCTTTGATCATCAGCCTGATTTGGCCACCAGTGCAGATGGAGCCACAATAGGGGATCCTGTCAGTGTTCTCAAGACCCATGCCGATACGCTCTGATGCAAAAATGTTTCCTCAATATTTTAGTAGTAAGCTTAGATTTACCTTATTTGCCTTATGATAGTGAGATTGCTAGTATAAATGAAAATAGGAGTTTTGTTTTAACAGGAAGCCTATGCTTTCATGTGATATTAGTGATAAGAGTCAGTGCATTATGTTATTTAATCAATCTGTAGCTTGGTTTGATGTGCCCACCATGGGAGGCCCCATTAGGGAGGTCAAGGCCTCCTGGGTAAGTGGATGGTGACCTGCTAAGAGTGAGTTTGAAAAGCCAGCACCCCATCAGCCTAAGTGGGCCCCTCATTGTTCCAGTAAACGAGGAGGTGGTTTCCTTCCCTGGACGGGATGTCAATCAGGAGAGGTTGTTTGGGGGAGCAAGGGATATTTTACCTTCTCGCCAGGAATTAGTACCAGATTCAATAAAACCTTTGCTGGGAGAAACTTTACTGAGCAGCAGGTGGATATTCCAACCCATTTGATCTCTGGCTCTTG